TGAACATTTTCATTTTAATACAGATGTAAGTTTGTTAAGTTTGTGAAATAAAACACATGATTCAAACTGTAGAAATTAATCACCAATGAATACAATGATGTCAAGCCGCGTAGGCATATTAATAGTTGCATCCCTCATCACCGGGTATAGCACTAATAAAGCGCCTTGAAACATGTTCAGTGTACACTAATGATGCAGGTAATGTCAATATTTATGGATAGAGATGTCTTACACTGATTCGTCCTGCAGTCATAAAAATGAAATTAATATTCCTTCAACATGCATCATGTAATGAGAGGATTCGATTTCTGTATTGCACACGATATCACTCGCATTTCAAAGCTTTGGGTTCTGTTGAATTTTAACGAGGACTCTTTTTTTCTCTTGTTAAAGATTGCAAATACATAATTTTGCTCTTGTTCGGGCCTTGTTCTTTTATGAGCTTGATTCAAGTGTCCTTATCTTCAAAGTTAGAATAATTGCAACCACCGAGCAGAAACTTTTCACTTTGGATATAGGCTAAACATCTTGCTTTTATTGTTTGGTGTATCCTTAAATTAAGGTATGTCACTCGTGAAATTTGTTAAATCAAGGATTTTTTGAGAAGTATATTTTGGGTAAGTACTCATATAGTGTGACTCAAAATCGCAGAGAAAATAGGGGGTCAGTGTGCATCTTACTGATCTACGGTACAATTAAGTTGACTTTTTTTAAACTTTAACACTTTGGTAAAATACTTTAACCTTTATCATATTTATTAGATGTAACCCTGGCACTAAAAATAATTTTATTTTACGTAAAATAGATTGAATAATATTTATCATTGAACAAATCTTTCGAATTAATGAGCATAAATTATTGAGTGACCTTTTTGCACTAAAAAGTAACATATTTGGGGTATCAAAAATCTAAAAAGGCAATAAAAATTTTTTGTATCAGACTTTTTACGACTTAAGTGCTGATCAGTCAGAAGTATGCAGTACTTTAAAATAATGAAAGAAAAAGTTGGTGTCAGTGATGTTAATTTAAAAAAAAATATGGTCAAAATATGTGATTTTTAGGAGAAAAATGGTATAAATTTTATCCAGACTTATTTGACATATCTTCAATTTTTGGGGCAAAATTTTTTGAAGGAAGGTGTAAAACTTGTTTTTAAAATATAAGACCTATATCAAATATTCCTCGCAATTTCATAACGCAAAATTTTCTTCGAGTAAAAGTATGTGATTCTAAAGTTCCAAGATATTAAATTTAATGTGCAGATTTGCAGAATTTTCTGCTAAATATCCTTCCACCACAAAAAAGTAGTCCTTCATAAATCTTGATTCTTTGTAGCTTTTTGAGCAGTGTTTTTCGTTGAATGTCAAAACATTTACATTGTTGAATTCAAATATTTTATAAAAATGAATTTTAATAAATAGTTTTGAAGCAAGAGGATCTGCGTGAACTTTTTTAAAAAGCTGACGAGTGACATACCTTAAGGTCTTAAATAAAAAGCCAGAATATTGTCGTTGCTCGCCCAATTTTGTTCGGCTGATAAATCATAAGCCATGAAAGGAAATGGCACGTTTTTAGATTAGTTTCTGCAGTGATGTACTCGTATGTGCTTTTAACCCTTAAAAAAGATGTACTTAAATGACTAGTAACTTGCTAGCATTCATTCGTTTTGCAGGTCCATAACACTTTTGAGTACCCCTCTCATCCATAACCCTTTACAAAGAACCGTTGAGCACATCCTGTATTACGTTTTTATCGAAGAAATATAAAATGTTTAATAGCATATCGTACTGTCTTCCAATCATATTGAGAGTAAACATCTCTTATGAAACTCACCTATACCTCTGATTAAAATTTACTGAGATAAAATATATGGAAATAACAGTATTCAAGCTCAAAAGTCCATTAAACAGTACAAAAAAGGAGCAGAGCAATCACTGACCTCCAAAACATCAGAGGCGGGATCAGATGCCATGGAGGAGTGAGCATACCCTGCCCACGGTCACAACCGCCTTATGCTCCTCGTCATGAATGGAAAATAAAGGAAAAATTCTATGTCGATTCAGTGTGTAAATGATGGACTAACAATTATTATGAAAAACGTCAGTTAGCATTTGACTCGATGATAAATTATATTTGCTGACAAGGTCATTTTTATCAACCATCGAACTTAAGTAATGATGACTTTTAAGAACGAGACTGTCGATATTCTTGTTTCATCAACTTGTTTGTCAATAATTTACCCCTTTTTTAGAAATTATACATACGTAGAGCATGCTCTTGCGTATCGAATCATCTAAGAGATATAAACTCTGTATGCAGGTTATAAAGGTATATTGCTGCATAAGTTAAGGAAGCTGACTATTGAAAAAGTCATCATGTTTATCATAGAGCTTGGTTGTTAGATTACCATTAACGTCTTTTTCAAGTAAAATATCCAAATATGAAACAGGTGTGTGAGACTTTGAGGTATCTTTTATCTCAAGCTCAACTGAATATAAAGTATCGACATAAGAATGGAAATAAACATTGTTAATTGGCAGTACATGTACGTCGTTGATGTATATAAATGTCGAGTTTAAGGCCACAGCAAGTGTTTTCTTCTTATCACGTATAAGATTTTGGACAAGTTCTGATTAATATGATTAATTGATTGTACATTGTTTAAAGTCCCTCTCGAGAATTTTTCATTCATATGGAGTCGCCAATACTTGCGGATGGATTGCTGAAAAATTTGTCCTATACTCGGTATTTAGGGCCAATGAGCAGGGGGGGGGGGGGCTTTTTCGTGCCAGCACCTACTGCGACATGGGACCTCGATTTATACGGTCTCATACGAATGACCAGTCTCCACGTCCCACAGTGGGATCAAATCCGCGACGTACGGATCAACATTTTACTTTACGACTGTAGAGCAGACGCTCTAACCAATGTGCAAAACGGACGACTGCTTCAAATGAATACTAAATGTCAATTTACGGGGCGCAATTGGTACCCATTGAAATTCCAAAAGATTGTTGGAAGACCTGGTCTCCAAAAACACATAGATATTGTCAATCAGAAACTCAAGCATCTTTTTGATGTCAACTTCAGAGTACTTGTGTGTGCAATCAGAATTAATGTTTTAACAAAATAATTTTGCAAATGACCAATGACAAGGTAGGTAAATTTACAAGTTCCATTTTTTTGAAAAAGCAGCTGTCAATGAGATCAAAAAGCCTGGACGTTAATTCATCGTCGGGAGTGGTTGTATATAAAGTTGAAAAGTCGAAAGTTATTTAGCTCATGATGTAGGATAAATCTTAGAAAAATCTTAGAAAGGGAACTTTGAATACAAGTTGGATTACCAATTCTAGAATTAAATTCTGAGAATGGCATAGAATCTTCAATGCAGTGTCATTGTGGGCCTCATATTTTTTTGTACTTTTCGATTGATCAGATATTGGGGTTTCACTAGCGAGATATGGACATTTTCATTCTCTCTGTAATATCGGGGGTATTCTTACCTTCTCTTATCCGCAGCCCCTTCAAATGTATCGATGTAGGGAAAATTGCATGATGATTAAAAAAAACTGTTCGTCTCGTTTTTCATATAGCTTAGATGTTGTGGTCCTTATCGTCTATAGTCAGTAAAATATTCAAATATGAAACAGATTTAGCAAACTCTGTGGTGCCTTTTATTTCAAGTTCAATGGGATTTAATAACTATTGTTTATTGATAAACATCGTCGAAATTATCGAGTAGATGGCCTTAAGAGGAAATGTTTTCTTCTCGTTCCGAAGTTTTTGAAATAAAATCCGCTTCATAGGAATATGAAAATAGATTTGCTTTGAAAGGAGTAAAAGTTTGCTTGTTGTTGGAAGACCTGGGGCCAGTCTAGCTAAAGAACCTACGACTAAGATCAAAATTTAATTCTACTGGAATCGGGTTGGGTACTCAATGCCAATTTATTTTATTAAAATTAAAATCTGGTATTAAAAAGTATACTTTTCTTGAACATATTTGAAGCTGGGTTCAAATGAATTATGTACAGCAGTCTGTACTACCAGTTTCTTAAATTCAAATACTGACGGATCCGATTCAATTACATCTATCCTAAAATCATTTGAAGACAATTTGTTAAAAAAAAACATGAAGGTACTGTGGGTGGACGAGCCCTGGGTCTTAAAAAATACGCTTGCAATCTAGTAATGGAAGAAGTCACACTTATAAATGAAATAAGTTCTCTGAAAACCAAATGCTCAAACAGTTAACAAGAATTTAGATGTTTGAAAAGAAATACAAGAATGTTTAAAAAATGTTCTGTAAAATTTTCTAGAAAACAGAGATTACTTTACAGAACGTGAACAGTCATTGTCTCTTGAAAAAAATATCATTTCCCCCTAGGCCTCTTATTAACCAATAAAAAAAAATTATTTAATGAATTTGTTAACCCAGCTGATTGATTATCTTGTTAATATATCATAAATATTTTGAACTTGATTATTTCATATGTACCCATATCACCAAGTAACCTTATGCTATGGATCTTTTATTTCCTTTGCCTATCTGTTTCAGATGACAACTGCAGGGGCTTCTGATAAGAACCAAAAACCCTTCAGAGTTACAAACATGTTTGAGAAATGTCAAGCTCCTTAGTATGTTAAGGGCGACACGGCTCTCTGTTGATTTGCTTCATGCATTGATCAATTTCTCAGGGAACTTTAAATATCTGCAAATTGCAGATGCATGCGCATTAGAAAATAGATGGCAGAGAACGGATGCCAGTGAAAGATTAGGCATTTACCCCTTGAAAGAAATTAATTACTTTGGAAATATAAGAAAACAGGTGTTGAATTCGTTAATGCACATTAAATCGATGTTTGCTGAAAGGAAAGCACAAGAATCTTTCCAATTTGTACTGTTAATTGGATAACTTTTTTAAAGGCTTTGTTTTTGCAAGGGTTTCTTTTTATGATAATAACGCTGACAAATTTCAATTTAAAAGTTTTCGCGTTGGATTTGTTTCCTTTGTGAATCAGATGATAGTGCAGAGTACTGAAACGCACATGTCGTAAGTAATTTTCCACAATCACTTTATTCTTAACTGTCACAACGGATTCTCGAAACGTAACCATGTCATCTGGTGACTACTCGGACTTGCGAGAGAGAACAATATTCTTCTTAGGAGTTCTATCGGTAGCCATTATTCCATTCATTTTAACAGGAAATCTACTCGTCTTAATATCGCTGGTTAAATTTAAATTTCGATTTCGAAATGTTACGAACCTTTTCGTCGGCTCCTTGTCTGTTGCAGATTGTCTTTTAGCAGTTTTGACCTTACCAGTTTATGTGGCCTTTTATTTTGATGGGGACAGATTGGCTTCAATCAAGTACCTCTGCATTTGCAAATATTCTTCTGTCGTCTGTTCAATGAGCGCCTCTCTCACAAGTCTTGTGGCCATTGCAGCGGACAGGTATATTGCAATAATTCATCCACTGAAGTATCCATCCGTAATGACCAGAAAGAAAGCTTTCGTTGTCATATTTGCCATATGGATCTACAATTTGTCGTTATTTGTTCTCCCCTTCTTCGTCAACAATTACAGCGAGGAAACAAAAGAATGCGATTTTTTCAAGGTTTTGCCAAAGGCGTATTCTATGAGCAGTACATTTGGAGCCATATTTGTGTGTCTTGCTTCGACTCTGTACATGTACATCAGAATTTTTGTTGTAGCTCAGAAACATAGAAAAAGATTAGATAAATACAGAAAAAGTACGAAGTCCAGCTTAGATCGGAAGTTTGAGAAAGATGCAAAATCAGCCAAAACAATGGCCCTGATTTTGTTTCTCTTTTTCCTTTTTTGGATACCGTTTATGGTTGCCGGACCACTTAAATATCTTAATCTTGAAAAGGATCTTATTGAATCTATTAAAAGCATGGCTGTTTTTATAGCAATGTGTAATTCTGGAGTCAATCCGGTTGTTTATTGTTGGATGAGGAAAGATTTCCGAGCAGCATTTACAGCATTGATAAAGTGTTATGATCGCACGAAGAGTGAGGAAATTCTGAGGGAAGCATCAACAAATTCTACAGAGGATAGACAGAAGAACGAAAACAGAATCAGTCTTAAAGAAACTCAGAAAAAGCTTGATTTAAAGACGATTTGTTATACACAGAATAGTTGTACCGATTCGAATGTAGATCTTAACGGGAAATATATCAAGATAGACGAGGCCAATGTGACAACAGTTTGAACTAACGTTTGTTTTAACTTGAAGTTTTTTATTGGTTGAAAGGTAATATTTTTCGTCAAATGTTTTGTAATATTTTATCTCAATGTTTATAATATATTCGTTAAATTCAATTGAAATCCATCTACATTATTTTTTATATAATGCTAGTAAGTTAGAATATTTTTATTGTAGCAGCAAGTTGTCATTTCTTAAGTTTTTTCACTTCATTTTTTAAACGTCAAAGTTTCCCTTTTATATTCTTTATAAGAATATAATGATATTGGTTAGCGCTAGATTGTACAGTGGACAGGTAGATTAACATGAGTTATCAATAAATATTTCATTTTGTGCTATGGTTTGTAATTGATATTAAATAAAGTAAAATACTATAATACTTGTCAGTGAAACTTTCTACCTGAACCAAAGTTGAGATTGATCTGAAAAACGACAACTTTCTACCTGAACCAAAGTTGAGATTGATCTGAAAAACGACAAATTTCATGGTGAAAAAAATACCATCAACAAATTAGAAATCTATCTTGTGATGTAGAGCATCTATGGAAGCAAAACGAATGTTTTAGCATGAAAACAAGACATTGACAGAAATTCCTTTAAAGTATGAAAGAATTACCACACGTACTTTTCCAGCCGGTACCAAGTGCATCCCTCAATCAAATGGTATCACTTGGTTTCTTTTGATAAAAATGCGTCAGTTTAATTTCTTGGAAAGGTAAGGTAAGGTTTTTTTTTAGATCCTGACTCAAAATAAAAAGTAGATAAATAAATAAATATTGAAATATGCTGACAATATCAATAATAAAAATATAAACAGACCATGCATTTAATTTGAAACTACATATTTGTTTAAATAATTAGAAAATGGACATATAGAATAAAAACCTTTTTTAATCTGAATTTGCTGCTATGTGAGTTACGAAGTATCTTATTGTTTGGCTAATGGAAGTCTAAAACGTTTTTCAATGATTTCGCATATCAAGTTCGTAACTGTCAGGTAAAGAGATGGCCTTGATGAAATGATCTCTTTACAGCCAAGGCAATCCACCAGCCTCAAATGCAATTTTCATTGTCAATATGTTTGTGAGAAATACGTTCAATTTACATGCCAAATGCAAACATCCAGAAGATTAAGTTAAAGCTGTTTTGATACACCTTTTTACCCCAAAACTCTAAATTAATTAATTTTTTTAGAGGAACCTAACATGGGATTTCTGAATATTGAAAAATAAATTCGCCATAAAGTAAAAAAAAAATTCTTCATATAAGTGAATATTTATAATGTAAAGAATAGACTTATTTAGTTTTTTAAAAGTTTTCTAACTTAAGGCATGAGCAGAAAATGTCTCATAATATTACTTGACATTTGCAAAATATTGTATTTAAACAAATACACTCGATGCCCTAAAAATAATTGACAAGGTGCCCCTGTCAAATTCTGGATAATGTAATATACTCAAATAATTTCACATCATTGTCATCCTTAAGATAATTTAAGTAACACTTTTAAAATTCATGAATGATACGACATATGGAATAATTATATCGGTTTGTAATCAGCAATCAAAATAATACAAAAAGATTGTTTGTAAAGATAAATTAATGTAGCACCAAAAATGAACAATGACATTCGAGGCATGAGAAATGTAACAAAATGCAGAATGATTAGTTCAAAGTTTTTAAAAAAAAAAAACGTGATTTTTTAACAACTGAATAGCATGATATTTTCGAAACCAACTTGTCCTTTCATTTAATAAAATAGAGGAACCTTAATTATACATGAATTTTACAAACACGTATTAAGATCATTGTTAATACATGTACGTCATTCCTGATGATATATACAGTGTATCAGTAATGAACGTAGTTCTCAGTATCAAATTTTATTTGTTCATATTTGAAAAGTTCTATGAAAAAGCTCATAATTACAGAAAACACCAAACATTTTTCCGATTGTCCTCGAAAAAGAATTCACTAACGTAAGCAAGATCACCACACTGAGCTGAAAACTTGATACAAGTGATCTCTGCAAAGAAAATGAAAACGAGAGAGCATATATGAAAACTCTGCTTTTTACATAAATCGTCGTAGAACTCATATTTGAAAGAAAAAAAAATTAGTGTAGTATAGTTTTCAGATAGATACAATAATTTTAAAGAAAAAAAAAGAAGAGTTAAAATATTACAGCCATACTAGTCGATTGAATTTTGTGGAGACACCACAAAATATCGACACTGTATGCCACGATATCTAAAAATGCTGAAAGACACATGGGTGCGTTCACAATTCTCCCATTGGTTGAAATTGGGGGTGTAATTTACCAATGCCAAAAACACTGCTTCCAATGTTTACCATTGGTAACGTTTATTGGTTACCTTTATTCTGCAGGTCAATCACATCTATGACAGATTTGCCAACGAAGATTTCTCATTTATAGGAGTCACCCCAAAGATGGCTACCAGGACCATTTATGACAGCATGAGAGACGTTAACTCATCAGTAATAACATTTCAATTGAATTTAATTACGCTTTAGAGACAATACTGTTATCTCTACAAACGAATAGTATTGCAAATTTGAAACAAATGAACACTTGCTTTGGCAAAAGAATATCAAGATAATTATTGCACGTTTTCATATAAAGTTATGTCCATAAAAGTTATTTTATTTTGTTTGAGCAGTGCAACAAACTTCTTATTGAAGCTTTTTATTTCTGGAAAATGGCGAAAAATCAACATTTGCCATTGGTAACCATTGATTACCATTAGGGACCATTAATAAACAAGTGGTACCATTATTCACCTTTGACAACCATTGGCACAGCCTTTGGTTGTTTTGTCATTGGCGTATCCAATATGCTGTTCACAGTTTAAAGGTAACCAATTGTACTTTAACATTGGTGCCAAAGACAAGCCATTGGCACTAAATCGATATTTGTACCAATGGAAGAATTTTGAATGCACCCATTGTTTAGAAGAAACTAAACATTTCATAACCAAAGCATATTATAGAATTCTGAATAAAGAAAAATATAATAATATTTCTATCAAATTGGTGCTGTAAGTTGTTTCTTACAAATGTCTGAGAGAAAACACGATTAAGATGTGCCAACGGTCTATTAAAAACAATATTCTTGACAAAATAGAAGATTTGATAAACTTGCATGATAGGTGACAAAACAAAGGACTTGTACACTTTTCATACCCGAAAAATAAGATCAATATTTCAAATGGGGAAATAATGAAAAGAGAAAAAAAGGTGTCTTTTTATCATGACTATACGGTAAAGAGAAGCAAGGACTCCAAACATGCTTTATTGGTTTTCCTGTATATTTCAGAAGGTCCAGTAAATATTACGGATGTCAACGAATATTCGAGTACTCGACTATCGTTCGATCAAACCGACTTTCGACTAAAATTTCTTTAGTCGGTTATTCGTTAAAAATGTGTTTCATCAAAGTAATATTGAATTCAAGGCAATAAACTTATATTTGGCCATTTCATTTATTTACAGATCAATATTTTCATATGTAAAAATTAAGGGTATGGTATAACTGTTCAAAGGAAATTATTTGTACGTCGATGTAATTTCGGCAAACATATCTTCAAAATATACATGTAAATTGGGGTCAGTTATGAGAGTAATTAAATCGTGTTTTCTTTTTCTGATATTATTTTCATATGTAAAAATTAAGGGTATGGTATAACTGTTCAAAGGTCGATGTAATTTCGGCAAACATCTCTTCAAAATATACATGTAAATTGGGGTCAGTTATGAGAGTAATTAAATCGTGTTTTCTTTTCTGATATTAATTTCATGCAATCATTGATTGTTTGCACAAAAAATTCATAATTAAAAATTATCCCAAGCTATCTCTCTCTCTTTCTCTTTGTTTTTATAAGAGACACACTTTAATTGTTTACCTGTCAAAGGTCATTGACGGACACGTAGAAATTGGCTTTAATCATGGGGTACATGTACTACCGTTATGTAAAGAAAGGACAAATCAAGCTTTTGATATCCTGCATTTAGATAAAATATGCAGCTAGTATATTAATTTTGAAATTAAATACATTGGATACATATTGATGTACAGTTTTTATGGTACTACGTCCATGTTTACAATTCAGAAATTCGTTGTATAATGGTGATAGCGTAGGTTAAATATTGTAAACTAGTCTGTAAAAGACAAGCAGTGAAGATGATATGAAAAAATAATTAAAATTAAACGAATATTCGACTATCGTTCGACTAAAGCATCCGACTATTCAACTAAGCTGCCCGAGTAAAATTGACATCCCTAGTAAATATGTACAATAGAATGAAGGACTATCAAGGGTTATTTTTATGTTCAAAGTGCATGAAGGAAATTAAAGCAGATTTCCTGCAAAAAAGTCCAAACACCGTCCCCAGAATATTTTTCCTATACCTGACAATACAGCTGCTTAGAGAAATAAATAAGATTTTGAAGAAAAGAAAGTATACAGAGCTGAATCAACACCCATATTCGCTATATCTTTCATTCCCAAAACGCTTGAAAACAATCAAGTGAAGGTGAAGAGTGTACATTATCAGATATGTAAGATGTGTAAGCTGAGATTTTCTGTTCATGGGTACAAAGATCTAAGACATGTGTAAATGGTAACAGAGGGGTTAAAACTAGTGACAAAACGTATTACGTTCTTTTCTTATTTTTAGATGACGTTCTTATTATTAATTGAACGACCCTCTTATATACCAAAAGTACATGTGTTTGGGTATAGTGATAAAATTAATGAGAAAGTAATTTTTGAAAGAACAAAAATAATTTTTTTTCTTAAACTACATTGCTAAAAGTATGCAAAATCACGAATTGTTAGTATATCTCTTTTAAATGTAACTAAAGGAAAACGAACAACCATTATAAAAAAGTTTTATTTCTACTTCATGAGATCTACAATATAAATGTGTCGCTTAAATTCTTTGAGTTGATGAAGATATGAGGGGTAATATAATTTTCTAACATCTGTGAAATTCTGATGACATTTTTTAATACCCTGGTGGGGGTGTGGTACATTCTCTAGGTGGGAGGAAAAGTTGTGGATCTGATATTCCGACTTTGATGTCATAGTATCTACAAAAAGGAAAAATAAATGCAAATGATAGGTAGATATATATATTACTTCTTTGTTTACAATAAAGACATCATGTCTAATGAAATGGACAAACTTGTCAAAGATAAGTATGTACTTGTACGACTATAACATAACATTGATTTGAGATTACATTCAATGAAAATCCAGAAGAATAAACAAAATATTTTTAAATGTTTGGCATAAAAATCTACAAAAATAACTCATAATTCATACGTAGATTGTTCAAATCCATATTTCTGTGAGAAGTGAATGTTCTGGATTGGGAAACAGTCTGGTGAAGAGACCAGCCCAGTATAAGCCTCTGTAAGTCAAAAAAGGATCATATATAGGAACAAAAGGCAGGAAAAAAATTATTACATCTATTTCTTGATCAGTCACCAACTACGTTATTTAAGTCGATATATATAGGTTTCTTCAGTTTCTAATTTACAAAAAATTACCTCTTTTATTGATTTGATTTATAATAATACTTTGTATGAATTAGAAAAAAATATCAGCTCATTTTAAAAACTTTTCAAAGATCTTTAACATGTCTTAGGATTTTTTTAATAATAAAAGCATATCGATGTTTACAACATCAAATAATCTAATGAGTTTGTAGATAAAGGTATACCTCCAGTAAAGTTTCCAGAAAATGCCAGGACAGTGACAGACTCATTGGGGATTGCTGCAGCCCCTATGACAACCTCGCCCTCGAATTTTGATCCGGGAATGACACCCCTTGGGCGGAAAGGACGGTTGATGGTAGTAATATTACATTTCTTAGTTAAAAAGTCCACAGCATACATTTTATTCTGCAGGTGAAAAAAAATTGCTTAAATTTACAGATAGTTTGATATATGAAAATAATTATGAAGTTTGGAACATAAGTTAAACATATGGCTCGATAAGGGGTGCACTCGAAAATGCACACCATTTGTCACAAAAGTTTCAATAAAAAGTTGTGATACATCTTTGAATATGACCTTCATTTTCAAAAGATAGAGTTCCTTAAAAAGTTTTATACTTGTAATTTTACTTCTCAGAATTTATATTTTGCCCTCAAGTTGAAAAAAATTTGGGTAAAATAAATTTCGTCCAATAAAAAACTGATTTGAGCTTAGGGATATTTTTAACGAGGTTATGATTTGAAATAACTTTTCCTATATAAAGAAAAATTTGTCTGAACAGTTTCATTTTCGTACTAAAAACTTCCTAATAATCTGAAAGAATAAGGCGAAAAACCCAATTCATACGTTTTAATGGGTTTTCACCATAAACAAAGTTATCTCCTGTAGCAATAACTTTGAGTGATGTTACCCTTTTTCGTATGTAGAATTTTTAAACTTTTAACGAATTTAAGGTCAGAGATTAGTGATTATAAACTCAACATAACTCTTGTCTGAGATTTAGCAAGGACTCTTCTATGGCATTAAATCTACGTTTCTGTACAATCTGAAGATTGGGTTGAGAGAAAAAGCAAACTCTCAAGTATTATAATATAAGCAGCTAAAACAGTCAAACGACGTGGGATACATGGGTTTTAAGAGGTGTGATATAGTCAGTCAAGAGTGTAATAGTCAATCGAAATAAAATTAGATGATCTGAATCTGTTACCTTTTGAGAGGTGGTGCATTTAACATTTAATATTAGTTACATGGAAATGAAGTGATATTTTAAAATAGAATAAAGACAGAACGTGGCATTGCAGATTTGGTATGACCTACCTCACGGTGTAAGATAAGGATATCGTAAAGTTTCTTCTCTGACCCAATTTCAATTTCTGTCATGATTCTTTCTCTCTGCTGTGTTTCATCATAGGCCAAAAATCGTTTCTCTTCGTACTTCTGTGAGGGGTCAACCTGATCAAACAATAATGGTCATGAATTCTGTAATTAGAGGTTTTTTTCGCCCCTCCCCTACCGTCTTCGGCATGCGTTGATGATCCGTTCATGGTAGGAAGATTTGATTTTTTTCGGTTTTTCGGAAAACTCTTGAACTTTAAAATTAAATGATGTGTTTGGTTAAAACTTCATTATCAATATATTACATTGCTTATGGTAGACTTTGCAGCAATCTAGTTTTTTTTAATCTGTTTCTTTTCGAATTTTTTTCGATAAAAATATAAATTTCAATTTATTTTCTTTATAAAGCGAATTTAATTTTGGCACTCAGTTACCATAAAGTAAAAACCTAACTGGATAGAAAATAGTCTTGAGAGCCAATTGCATTGTCACACTATATATTAATACTTCATAATCAAAATATATTTCCTTTAAGTTAATCGTGACATCGGTTTCATTTCAATGCCTCAAACTTGCTTGAACTTTTGTAGTACGCCTGCGTTGAAGAAAATAAAAAATCTTACCCTAATCTCCCGGCCTTCCCATTGTGGTGGTGAACCTGCAAGAAACAATTTTAAAAAGTGTCTTCTTCATTGATACTTTACAAATATGAAACCCTAAATAGTGTTTGACTGAAAAAAAATCTAATACACACATGTATCTACATATATACATACAAATATAAGAAACGCAATTGATAAATGGACAGCTTTTTATGAACTGAGAAACTTCTTAATGCAGGAAATAAAACATAATCTGATATTATAGTATATTTCTCTTATGAACATCTCTGCTGAATACATTTTTCAAAACGTGTCTTATTTAATGAAATAAAGATAAGTATCCAAGCTCAAAAGTAATAAAAGGAATTATTACAAATATGTTATTATTCTCTACAGTAATTTTAATTTAATTAATTTACTTACTGCAAGGAACGGGGGCTTGTGCAGAAACTGCACACACCAACATACAGACAACGACGAGAAACATCTTTCTGGTAACTAGAGAGCCGAAAACTGAGATAAAACAAGCGACAGTCCGCTCTTTTGTTCTAGTTTGCTGCCGGAGAGATAAGAACTCTAGAACTGCTATACATTACCAGACATATTTCAGAATTTGTACACGTGTGATCCATTCTTATCCGGTCATTTGATGTCAAGTATTGCAATACGTATACCGGTATATCGTGAACCGAATTTAAAATTGTACTACCGGTATAAATTAACAGTTTCACTTATCAAATGTTGCAGTGTATTAAATAGCAATCACAATTATTAGTGTAGTTTAATTTTTCTAATCTTATCTTATATATTGTAATGAAAAATAAAAAAATCTTTCATTGGCATAATTTTTATTAAGCAAAAAATGACACGATTCTGGACAAAATATTATGGCGTTATTAAAGACATTCTTTTGGAGGAGTCCATATTTTCATGTCCGATATCCCAATATTGAGATCATAGTAACTGAAAATAAATATAACATTTAGTTAAAACCTATTTTTATAGTACACTGCTAGCATTTTACTAGCTGCTATAGCCCTCTCCCATTTTTTTTTAATTGATATTTTTTTCTTTTCCAACCCTCAACCTTAAAATTGGAGAGGGCTACATTATTGCAACTAATATTTCACATAGATATGAAAGACCTATGACCCATTAAGTCCTATAGGCTATTGAACCATAAGACTAGTATTAGTAAATGTCTAATGACACTTCTTTTTATTTTTCTTGTCTTTACGTATGTTCCTTTTGCTTTTTGCTCACATTATTTTGTTCTTGACAAGAGCATAATACTTATTACGGGGATTAACTTCATTGGTTGTAATTTTCACGGTTTTCTCTTCTCTGTTACAATCATGGTTAGCTGAATTCGCGGAATTGGTATATACCGGTAATAAAAGTTACAAAAAGTTAAAGTATTATCTTCCTAATGCCAGAATTTGAAATGAAGGAATTATAAAACTCTTTTTAAACAAAGCAAAAACAAAAATCAACCGTCGACATAAAAGAAAATATGCTTTAACTTTCATAAACCCTCTGTTCACTCATACATGTAAAAAAAATTAAACTTAGACACTTGTGATTTTTCAAAAGAAATTTTTCTAATTAAAACAATGCAAAGAATAGCATAGCTTGCAGGTCAAAATTGACCATAAAAAAGACGTTCCAAGTCAACAAATCTGTAAAGGGATAAAAGACATTAAATTTTATTACATTAAGAGTTAAACCTCTTATAAGATTATCAATGAGATTTTTTTCTCTGTAATTATCAATCAATGACTTTTGAGAAGGAACATCCGGGGATGTTTCGTAGGGAAAAAAAAGCCCTGCCACCAATAAGTAATAAAATTCATTAATTTTGACACAGAGAGCACTTTGCAGAAGTTCAGTTATAAGGTTAAATAAACTAAAACCTTTAAAAAATATGTACAGCTGAAATATACAATCATGTATCCACAGAGGATTTGAAGATAGGTACCAAAAATTGTATATATTTCAGCTGTACTTATCTTAAATTCATAGTACCTATCTGTAAATCAATTGTACCTATCCTCAAATGAATTGAATATTAGTGTAATTCAATTGAACCTATCTTTAATTGAACTGAAGATGGGTAAAATTCTATTAAAGATATGTTTAATTTACTTGAACCTAAGTTAAATTATTTAGATGTAGGTACCTATCAAAATTCATCTTGGGAAAGGTTTTATTATTTGAGTATGGGTACAATTACTAGTATTTAAAGATAGTTTCAAATAATTGAATATATGTTAATTAAGCGTTCCTTAGTTATAAACTAGAATAGATTGGTATAAAAGCCTATAATTACGTCGAAATTTCTAATCCGCGTGTGGAACTGAAAATGGTTGTACGAATGGGTACACAGTCGGGTGAGGATACAATCGTGTGCTTCATATCTGAAACTTAATATAAAGATTAACACGGTAAATTTGCAAAGTCTAGTATTATAGAAAAGAAATTTTAAAAAAAAACGTAATAAATGATTTCAAACTAAAGATAACTGTTACAAAATCAACTTATAAGGTAAATTTATGTTAAAAAATGTTTGGTGGATCCTTACCTGTAGTTTTATTTGAAACAAACTGTAAAACAGTGAGTTTTTCCGTTGGATAACCAGGTGCTCCAACATAATCTTCGCTAAAAAATGTATCTCCCGGATGTGTACCACGTGGTACCCAGCCTCGATGTGGGACTGTCACATTGCATTTCCGGGTTTTCAAATCCAGCCTGTACATTTTATTCTAAAAAAAGCAAGTTAAATATGAACCACTTTAAAAATAAAAAAGAATGATGTGAAAAATTACGGATTTCATTTCAATTTTGTATCACCTGATTCCACAGTATCAGTTCATCATAGGCAGTAATATTGCTAGCTTTATCAATAGTCTCCACTCTTCTCTCTCGTTTGTTTCTGGAATCGTATGACAAACGGCGTCTTTTGGTGACATTTTCAGAGGGATCAACCTTTGAAACCGAAATCATAAACAGGTATCTTTAACAACAAAGGTTAAACTTCACAAAAGAAATAAAAATGCATAAAAGTTTTGATACTTACTTTGATTTCATTACACTCCCAAACGGAAGGGGAAGCTGAAAAAATAACAAAATCGGAAGTGAATCAACAAGACTTTATTTATAAAAAACAAAAAGCACATTACAAATTAAAGGAAATTATAATACTTTGCTTTTAACCTGAAAATTTACTGAAAATAACTGTAGAGTAATGTTTTACTTACTACAAGGCTTAGGTTGCTGGGAAATGATTTGGCCGACCAGTAAACAGAAAAGGATTTGGAGAAACATTTGGACAGATAAAGTTTATCAGACTAAGGAATAGTCATACGGCTCTAGAAGTATATACGCATTTAAGTCTCTGGTTATGTTTGAGCATTTATAGCAATGCAATCTTTGGAGTAAGAATACAAAACAGAGAACAATGCAAAAAGGAGAGATTAAAAACAAATTTGAACAAGATATTTTAGTGAAACTCTGGAAGCTTTAAATTAAAATGATAGATTTTCTAAACTGCAATCAAACTCCAAAGTCAAGAGATCAAAATAGTTGTTATCCAAGACAAAGGGTTTGCCTTATTGAATATACCTGTAAAATTTGAGAAAAAAACTCATGCAACATTACTTTAAAAATGCAACATTAATTTAAAGATTATGGATAAGTTAAATTCAACTTTCAACGTCAATATCAAAGTGTCAAAATTCTCAGCGGAAGACCTTGTTACAGGAAGTACACATATGGAATATAATATATAATAGCACCAAATATTTAAAGGTTATGGTCAAGATTAGAGTTTTTCAATAGATTATCTCTTGTGACAAGACCTTCCTTCGGATACCAGCAATTTTAACCTTTTGACGTTGACTCTGGGTTTTGATAATCTTTTTTGGCAAAAGTGAGACAGACTCTACGGTCAACGTGAAGAGGTCAAATACTAAGTATATTGGTATCAAAAGAAAGGTCTTGTCACAAGAAATAAAAGTATGAACTATTAAACTACATCTCCAACCAAACGAAAGTTATGACCATGTTTAATTTTTTCTGCAAACAGACAGACAGCTAAACCCACGGACAGCCAGTTCAAAAACTATACACCCCTGTATCTTACTGTTTGAAAACATTGAAAAACTTTAGCAAGCTTTATTGATATTAAGTTTAAAATTTTTGAACATGGTAAACTGAATACTGTGCATTTATTTTATAAAAAAAAACATCATAAATACGTAGAAAAATCTGTTCCAACAATTAAAACCTGTTGCATTTTTGTCAGCTATTAGTATTAAAGCTCAAAACAGGCTATAGGCTCTAAACAGGTGATATGGCATTTCAATTATTGCAATGTGTGTATATTTGATGATTTAAAAAATATTATTTTGAAAAAATACACCTACTAGAACAAATTTGGATATGTACAATATGAAAGAACAATTATAGATACAAATGGAAAATACAGAATTTTGCAACGTTAAACGTGCTATTTCGCAAACCCCTGTCTTATAACCTCCCTTTCTAGCTATGTAACGAAAATTGTAGAAATGCATGCAGCTTGATGCAAAACAGAGTGGACCATCATACTTTTCCAAATGACAACTCCTCTGTGTCACAGATCAATGCAACCATCATTATTTTGAATGAAAAAAAAAAATTTTAGAAGAGCTATAAAATATCTTTGCCCATACCTAAGTCTTCAAGTCACATTTTTACAGGTCTATTCAACCAATCAAGGCGAGTTCAATCTATCCTGGCTGCACACTATTTTAAAAATTCTTAAATATCCTTACCAACAATTCTTAAATACCCTTACTCACAAAAGGACATTCCTAGGTCTAATGTGTGCTCTACCAAGATTTTACTTCTCACAAAACTACTTACCTATGTAAA